TGACATAACAGCAAAGCAACTGCAGTGTCTCCCAGCATGCTACACACGACTTCATACCAACGCAGTATAATTTTATAACTTCAAAAATATTACCGATTGTACAGGGTCGTTCTACTCATTAATCAATCTGAAAAATGAGATATTAATTAGATGATAAGATCAGCTGACTTTTTAAAAATGAGCTGCAAAGATTTGACTCTTGCTGTTCTTAAATTCAGCTTTTAATCATGTGTATGCACCTGCACAGCATTAACTACCGTTCACCTATCAGCTCATGTCTAATTTAGCCCTGTCTGCAATACTTTCCAAGCCGTTCCTTCTTCAGTTCTTTCAAAATACTCATCGATTTACGTGCTCTTTTGTCGTAATTGGGGGTTGCAATACGGGTTGCAAGTAAATTAATTACCTCATGAATCATAGGCAAAATTATGCCTTATTTCTAACAATTTATAATGTTGGTTAAGCCAGGTACAGCAAGCTCACTCTGAAACGTCATATTAATAAAATCGCAGGGCCATGTGACAAAGTAACGGGAGTGCGATTGTTTCAGAAGTTCATTAACCGCAGACTATACTCTAAGTTTCACTTCTGTCATAGAATAGTACTTGTTTCGTAATATTTTTTCTGGTGGTCGCCAGTCATGATGAGTACTGTAATAATCTATGACAGTAGTTACCACATGCCCATTTCGTTCAGCAGGTTAGTGTGACAAACGAAGCAGAGATTCGAATATTGTACTGTATACCTTACGCAACATAGGCGCTCGATAAGTCTAAGGTAGTGACTACATTTCTGGCTCGCTTAACGAGCCTTTGCAAACTTGAGAGAGGATACCACTCACCTATTAACGGTTCAAGCTGCCGCTTTCACTACCTGCTTACCTTAACGCTGGTTACATGCAATTCAGACGGTAGACCAGTATGCCAGTCTCAGGCTTTCTGCTTTCGTATTTAACCACGCATTTTTTCATGTCGTGCTTCAAGGAATGGTTTACTCACCGCTAGAGGCAGTTGACAATCGCGTAAAGTTACTCGATTAACTTTAGTGAATATTCTCCCATTAACAGTTAAACAGAATTGAGTTGATTGTTATTATGCTTTGTTATTTTCGTTTAGGATTATGCGACGAAAAAGACATCGACGCTCGACGTATTTATTTTGGCTCCAACTTCATACCGGCAAAGCCACCCAAAACGTTTTTGCAACTAGCTTTCGAGGCCATGCAGGACACCACGTTGATGGTGTTGATCGTAGCAGCGGTCATTTCCTTGGGCCTGTCGTTTTACCCGAAAAGCAGTCAACCAAGTATGCATTAAACACGTCAAGTTGGCACTCGTTCAGGGACAGCGAAGGGCTTGTCCTGAGCTTCTTTTAATTTAGCTGAATCACGTCAGATTTACGACATTTCCCGAATCGAACGTTTCGCTGCAGCCCTTTTCTTATAGTTCCTTTGAGTTGTCCTCTAAAGTGCTTCTATCAACATGAAGAGAATACAGTCGACAGTCTGTGGCCGTAAGCATTTTTTGGTAATTAAGTCGCAGGCCCATGGGTAATCTCGGCTGTGAGGAAGGCTTACAGCATCATTCAGCAGTAAGACATTAGTGAGAAGTTAAACGATGACGTTTCCTGCCTTCCATGAATAATGCATAACGAAGATGTTTATTCGAAGACTATCTTCCCTTACATCTTTTATATACTTTAACCGCAGGGCAGCATTGGAAACAGTGTATTCTTAAATTTTTAGCAATGGCAATCAGTGTCGTACTGAGTTCAAAAGGAAGATTCCAACTTAATCATCGTGTTCATGCCACATTTTATCACTGTTAATCCTTACACTGGTGCTAAGTATATTTTCCTTAATCTTTCCTTGCATAAATGATTATGCAACGTCCGGATTCTCTATACTTTTAGCCTAGTACCAGTGAATATTCTCCTTCATTGCAAGGATGGATAATTGTTTTTACGCTTTTCGGGCATTTCGGAGATATCAGCATAGACGGCTGACCCAAGTCTTTCTGTCCTAATTTATATTTAGTGTCATTCTCTAATTTTTTTCACACTGCGTAAATAGGTCTGCTGCTCATTTTCCATGGCAAGCAACTGATATTTTCTAAGAGAATGGATCGCGGGTACAAGAAATTATCATTTTTCCTTAATGGAAACTTTCTTAACTGTTGAGATGTTTCTGCTTCTGAGTTTTAACATTAATTGTTCTTAGACAGATCTCCCATCGATCTTTATCAAGTTAAATTTGTCTCTATATTCATAATGGACAATAATTTTCTCGTTATATTCCATAGCCGTTGAGACTGTGAAGAAGCTTACGCAGTTGATTTGATCATATATGTTCTTCTTGCATCTAATGTTTAAAGGTAAAGAAAATGGATATATCCATATTCCCTTCTGATGGCCAGAAAGGGTCTGAAAGGTGCCAGAATTCCACCGTTAAATAGGATGCAGCAAATCTTCCGCGTATCTGGCGGTTCCACTTCATGTCACACCTCCGTTTAATCTAGATAAGAAAACATAACTATAAGACTAGTTTTCTCCTGTTTCATCTGTGAGGATCGTTAATTGCTCCGGGTGAATGAACGAATTAGTGTCTGCAATTGCACACGTACAGATCATTTCAGAAGTTTGTTTTGCAGATGGAAATCCTAGCGACCAGAAGGCAGAGTGGATCGAAGCGGTGGCCATCTTCATGGCGATCGTCGTCGTGGTTCTCGTGACGGCCGGCAACAATTACAGCAAAGAGAAGCAGTTCAGGGGACTGCAATCTACAATCGAGCAGGAGCAGAAGTTTACCGTACTCCGGAAAGGGAAACCTGAACAGATCCTGGTCAGCGATATTGTCGTTGGAGACATTTGTCTGGTGAAGTACGGCGACCTGATTCCTGCTGATGGGATCATTATCCAATGCAACGATTTGAAGATTGACGAATCAGCTCTTACCGGAGAGTCTGACCTCATAAGAAAGGGTCAAGACAAAGATATTCTTGTCCTGGCAGGTGAGGAAATTATTTTATATTCTGTTTTTTATGATAAACAGCTGGTCATTATGAATGCAGGATGTTTCACTTTTTTCCTGAACTACGCTTATATTGTGTAATGATAATATATGTATATGCAAAATTTTGGTAAGTACGATAGATTGAATCGTTTTTTGCCTAATACTCTAAACGATTAAGTAAAACGGAGTTGACAAACGTTACCGCCTTTTCTCTGCGTAGAAAACTAGGTATTCCGTTTCCATTTTTCCCAGCTTCTAAAATATCCCAATTGGTGATCCAAATGAGGCTTGACGGTTCAGAACAGTTGCAGACCAGAAAATGTCAGATCTGACTTTCTGAGAATGATGCGCAGACTTGAAGCTACAGCAGGTTATGAGATTTTGCTTAAAATTCTGATGATGATGTTTAGCATTACGCCACAGACTCACTCAAGATCCAAAGTAGATTTGTTTGGTACAGAAAAGTAAAGATCCTATGGGTTTACAAAATTACCGCTGGTTTTTGATACCGCCGCTAAGGTGTATAATCCGTTTTGTTTTTCGAAGGGACGGTGCTTACGCCGCTTCAATCCGGTATCTAAAACTATAAGGAAATGAATATCTCAAAGAGAGAGAGTGCCGATAAATAGCAGTATGCTAGTAAACCCACTTGAATGAGTTTTATTTTTATTTATATATGCCTACGGATAGTGGTATATCTGCAGGTCTCTGAACAGGTTCTTATTCGGCCCTGCCAAGTGATGCGGTTTAACATCTGTGCACGGCAGGTGCCCATATACCATGGAATCATGGTTTGCTGATATGGATTTGTTTGACTTCCCTATTTTCATTATCCCGCTACTCTTTGAGTTTTACAGGTTGACTGGTATGCATAGATCAGTTTCGATGCATGGTAGAGTTATAGCGAACCGGACACAATGTACATACATCCTGCGTACAAAGTCTTTTGTCAGAAAAAGTTTCAGTCGATAACAAATATTTTAAAAATTATTTGCTTTGTAGTTCAGTACATTGGATTCCAGGATTTTCGCTTGTATAGTCGATTGTTCTGGTTCGGCTGCTTCCGTGCACTCTTGTTTCCTCTGTATTTGATGTGTTTAGGCACCCACGTTATGGAAGGCAGCGGGAAGGTTGTTGTCACCGCTGTCGGGATCAACTCCCAGAGCGGCATAATCATGAAGTTGCTCGGCGTTGCCAAGATCGCAGAGGAAGACAAGAAGAAAGGTAAGAAAAAGTCCACGCGCGCCGAAGGAACCGAATTGGAAAGTACATGACGACAAATGCACCAGT